GTCTCTTGGGGCCTCTCGGGGGCCTCTTGGGGGCCTGTTGGGCGTTTCTCGGGGCCTCCAGGGAACTCTGTGCCTAGAGCTTGACATGTCCGTTCGGGTCCCTCGTTTGGGCCCGCTCTCGGGGCCGTCTTGGGAGGCTCTTTAGCCATCTTGGAAGCCTCTGGGGCTGTCTTGGGGCCCTCTGGGGTCGTTTAGGGCGCTCTTGGAGGCCTCTGAGGCCGCGTGGGGGTGATCCTGGAAGCCTCTTGGGCCGTCTTGGAGCGCCGGTAAGCCCCCAAGGCGAGAACGCCCACAACCTTCGAAAATTGCTGGGAAATCGCCAGTTTCTGCCTCTGTGGGCCCTCTTGGGAGCTCTCTTGGAGGCCTCTTGGGACGTCTTGAAGGCGCTTCGGGTTGTCTGGAGGCCATCTCTGGCGTCTTGGATCGCTCTCGGGCCGTCTCGGACCATGTTGAGCTCTCTTGGAGGCCACTTGAAGCGCTCCTGGAACGCTCTTGGGAGCCTGCTGGGACCTGGCCGGGACCTGCCCGGGACCTGCCTGGGACCCTGCAGAGACCTGCCTGGGACCTTGCCGGGACCTTGCCAGGACCTTGCCAGGGTATTTTTCGTCCGGGGATCTCCAGAGGCGGCCCCGCGCGCGCGCGAACTAGAATATATGTTAACCAGTCACCGGAGCTCTTAGCACGCCCTTGGCCCGTTGGGCCGGCGAATTGGGGTGATGCGTGCCACGGAAGTGCAAGGAACGCAAGGGATTCAGAGGCTAGAGTCGCCCAAGACCATACCAGGACTCCACAACAGTAAGTACGTCCCGACAAAGATCAGCTGCAATAGCAAAACCACTGCAGGCACTCCAGAGAGACGGTCCATGGATGCCAAACTTATCGCGACACATTGGGGAAGTCAAACGTGAAGTCAAACATAACCCTTGCGACCCGTGCATGCCGATACCCACTCGACCTCTAGTCAGTTTCGGGTACAGCTTTCGGAGCTCATCCTGACGTTGGCGACTTTCTGTTGAGGGGGGTCCTTAGCGGGGTTTGGAATGGAGTCCACACCAAGTGTTGCAGGAGGAAGTGTTGGAGGGTGGCCCGTTTCCGTGCACAGAGATGGCAACCACAAGATTTGCTGGACACCCCTACAGAGGTATCCAGTCCAGTTGCGTACAGCAAATCCCGTCACCGTGCTTGGGCTATGGTTTATATGCCTGGTAGATGTTCGCCGGAATCTCGTGGGAGGCCTCTCGGGGGCCTCTTGGATGCAGTTTTGAGGCCTCTTGCGGCCGTTTTTGGGCCTCTTGGGGGCCTCTTGGGGCCTCTTGGGGGCGGGCCTTCTGGAGCCTCCTGGGCGTCTGTTAGGGCCTCCTGGGGGCCCCTTGGGGCGGGCGGACGGCTTGGATGTTCGCTTCGTGTTCTCTCTGTGGGGCCCCTTTGGGGGCCGTTCTGGGGCGCCTCTTGGGCCGTCTTGGGCGCCTCTTGCCGCTTGGGACGCTCTTAGGCCGTCTTGGGGCATCTTGGAGGCCTCTTGGTTGGGAGAACGCCAGAATCTTTCAACACCATACGGGAATCAATGTGTTTTGCCTTCGGGGGCCCTCTTAGGAGTCCTCTTGGAGGCCTCTTGGGGCGCCTTGGGGGCCTCTTGTGCCATGTTGAGGCCATCGTAGGCGATCGTTCGGCGATTCGGGGCCCTCGTGGAGCGTCTTGGGGACCTCCTGGGCCGTCATGGAAGCCTTGGAGAGCCCCAGGGAGGCGCCATGGCCGCCCACAGACCCCCTCGGGAGTAGGGGTGGTGCAGGTGGTTTGGTGCTTCCTGCAGAGGGAGGGTCCTTTGGTCGACTACAGAAACCCTGGCACCAGGCAGCCTTTGGCATTATTCCACGCCTCAACGTGCTGTAGGCACGGTGGCGGACTTAATCGAGCAGCGGTGTCAGCAAAATTGTACCCCACCGAGGAGCTGCCCACATTGTCAGAACCTCCGTGTGTGCTGGGATCGCAGGATGTAGCACGCGAGCAAGATCCATGGTGATAGACCTAAGTGCACGCGTTTCAAGAGTGGTATGCACATTTTTCTTGAGTTCATGTATGCGCCGTGTAGACAACCCGTGACAGCAACACCGTAAAGCATCGTCGCACCGAGAGTTGGTCTTACCATCGGCCGGATTCGCCCACCAGTTCTGCGAAGTTTGAGAAGAACCAAGCCAGTAATAGCATGCCGTTCATCCAGGCATTCGTGTGCGCAAGCCCGAGCAGGCGTAGGAATTGGAGGAGGCAGCGGCGAGGATATGGATGAGGGAGAATTATTCCCAACCAACCTGTGTTGTTGGGTCCTCGTTTTGAAGAGACGGTGGCCCGCGTCTCCTCTCCTCTTCTCCTCCTCCTCTCCTCCTCCTCCTCCTCCTCCTCCTCCTCCTCCTCCTCCTCCTCCTCCTCCTCCTCCTCCTCCTCCCACCATCATCATCGTCATCACCCATTTCGGCACACCCCTCACACGTTTCGTGGCCCCATAGGGAGCTCCACCGAAGGTCCCAGTGGTGTGCCCGCATGCGTCCCGCGCACCCATTTCGGCACACCCCTCACACGTTTCGTGGCCCCATAGGGAGCTCCACCGAAGGTCCCAGTGGGTGTGCCCGCATGCGTCCCGCACACCCATTTCGGCACACCCCTCACACGTTTCGTGGCCCCATAGGGAGCTCCACCGAAGGTCCCAGTGGCCGCATGCGTCCCGCACACCCATTTCGGCACACCCTTCACACCCGTCATACCGAGCTCCACATGGTCCCAGTGGGTGTGCCCGCATGCGTCCCGCACACCCATTTCGGCACACCCCTCACACGTTTCGTGGCCCCATAGGGAGCTCCACCGAAGGTCCCAGTGGGTGTGCCCGCATGCGTCCCGCACACCCATTTCGGCACACCCCTCACACGTTTCGTGGCCCCATAGGGAGCTCCACCGAAGGTCCCAGTGGGTGTGCCCGCATGCGTCCCGCACACCATTTCGGCACATGTTTCGCCCCATCCACCTCCCAAGTGGACATACTCCACCGAAGGTCCCAGTGGGTGTGCCCGCATGCGTCCCGCACACCATTTCGGCACACCCCTCACACGTTTCGTGGCCCCATAGGGAGCTCCACCGAAGGTCCCAGTGGGTGTGCCCGCATGCGTCCCGCACACCCATTTCGGCACACCCCTCACACGTTTCGTGGCCCCATAGGGAGCTCCACCGAAGGTCCCAGTGGGTGTGCCCGCATGCGTCCCGCACACCCATTTCGGCACACCCCTCAGACGCTTCGTGGCCCCATAGGGAGCTCCACCGAAGGTCCCAGTGGGTGTGCCCGCATGCGTCCCGCACACCCATTTCGGCACACCCCTCAGACGTTTCGTGGCCCCATAGGGAGCTCCACCGAAGGTCCCCGTTGCACAGTCCGCACGCGTCTCCACCACCCAGTACACCTCCGTCGGAGGCCGTCGGGGTTCCGCGCCTCCGTCGCCCGTCGTCGCTCTGCCCAGCGGCAAGAGCCTTGCCCGCTATCAGCCAGCCAGCTAGCTCTTTTTGCTGCGCGCAGCGGGCGACCCGCGCGCGTCGCTGGGACCCCTCCGGGGCGACCTGCGCGCGTCGCTGGGACTCCGCGCTGCGCTGCGCCCGCAGCTTTGGATTTTAAGTGCGCGGACAAAGAGGGAGTAAAAGAAGGGGAGGAAGCGGGCGCGATCCTCGCGTTGGCGTCGCGGCGCGCGGGCGATGCCGTCGGGGAGTCCCGGGGAAGCTCCTTGCGGCGGCCACGCCCAGCGTCAGGAGTACTCAGAGGCAGTCATTCACAAACTATTAACATTCATATACAATTGCACCATGCATTGGCGTACTCGCATTCATGCACGTAGACTCGCTCGCACGCAGATTCATTCACAGTCAGGCGCACTCGCGCTCAGATTCACCCGCTCTCAGTCCCCCTACGTACTCAGATCAATCGTTGTCGTTCGCGTTGTGTACCACGCCATTCATTTTGGCACAGCACTAGCACGGTTCGTTGCCCCATAGGGATCACCACCGAAAAAGGGAATCATAATTGCGGTGCTCACACCTGCATATGGTTGAGTCCTTCGTCTGGCTAATGATGATGTTGTTGTTGATGATGATGTTGCTGATGGTGTTGATGACGATGGCAATACTGCTAATGATGTTGCTGATGATAATGATGGTGCCGTTGATGACGCATCCGATGATGATGACGATGATGATGATGATGATGGTGATGGTGATGGTGATGATGATGGTGATGGTGGTGGTGTTGATGGTGCTGATGCAGATGCTGCTGCTGATGATGCTGATGGTGGTGCTGATGATGCTGATGATGATGGTGATGATCATGGTGATGATGGTGATGACGATGATGCCGACGCCGACTACGACAATGATGTTGATGCTGATACGGGTGGTGCTGCTGCTGATGATGCTGGTGATGATGATGCTGATGATGGTGGTGATGCTGATGATGGCGATGACGACGATGATGATGATGCGGATTCTGGTGTTGATGCTGATGATGATGTTGCTGCTGATGATGTTGATTATGATGTCGACGACGACGACGATGATTATGATTGTGATGATGCTGCTGATGATGATGATGATGAGGATGGTAGTGATGAAGATGGTGTTGACGATGACGACGACGATGATGATGGTGATGACGATGCTTGCCATTCGGGTGATGATGATGATGATGTTGCTACTGATGGTAATGATGATGAGTCTGATGATGAGAATGACGATGATGATGCTGATGATGCTGATGGTAATGATGATGAGGCTGATGATGATGATGATGATGACGATGCCGACGCCGACGCCGATGCCGACTACGACGAGGACGAGGATGATGAGGAGGAGGAGGAGGAGGAGGAGGACGACGACGATGACTGGGGTTAAGATGCAAAAATGCGGGCCAGGATGGAGGATGAGGGGTGGCCACCGGAGAGCAGAGCTCCAACCCGCATGGTGAATACGCACAGGGTGCGCCCGACGACGGGCTCGCGCAGCTGGCCCTGCGCGCTGGCCAGGCGCACCTTCGAAGTTTGTGATGTCGTTGTCGATTCTGTCCTGCTACCCCTCCTCTTTCTTTCTACTGCTCCTCTTTGCTTCTTCCTCCCTCCATCTCGTCTTCAGTCCCTTCTCCTCGTTTCTCTACATGTTCCCCCCTGTCACCACTCAGCTACTCTTTTTAAGTATGCATGCGGCTTGTCGCTGGTGTTTCGCTGATCCGCAGCGGTTCCTCTTTTATTTCTTGATGTCGAGGCTGGTCACAAACCGCTTCTGGGCACTTTGCGCCCTAAGCCCAACCTGGACCAGTCGCCCTGTGGCTCCGCAAGGGACGCCACTTACGGATCGCCACGGCGACGCGATGGCATCTCGCGGTGGCAATGGGGCAGCGGCTGGCGCAAATGTGCTCACGACGATGCTGCGCCCGCAGACATGGACACCCTCGACACTAGCAAACTGAGCGCCTCGAGGCTAGGAGGAGAGCGTGCCGGCAGCGCTTTTGTAGTTCGCTCGTCATCCGTAGTGCTTGCACCGGCATTTCTGGCCCCTCACCGTTGCTTCCGCCGCCGATGTGCCCACCGACATATCAGACATTCTCGCCTTGGTCCACGAGGAGGCTAGTGCCTAAGTCGCCGATCAGGTGAACTGAGCCTTGAAGCAGATGGCGTAGCTCACTCATGCGTTCTATGGACGAGGAGCACGACAGCATCGCCCAACATCAGACGACGGTGGGCGACCTACTGACGCAGCTTGCAGCGAAGAAGCGCTTGGTTAGCCACGCGTCCAACCGAACGAAGTCTGTCATCTATATTCGCGACGACGACCCAGCCCTATTCAGCATATCCTGACATGAGTTTGCTTCGCTTCATTCCGTTCGGGTGCTCGTGGAATCTTGGCAGGGTGAGCCGAATATGCAGCACCCCGCAGTTGCGGTCAAGGGTGCAGGGGCGGTCGCGGGGTGGGTTGCGGGTGTGTCGCGGGTGGGTCGCGGGTGGGTCCCGGGTGGGTCGCGGGGTGGGTTGCTGGTGGTTCGCGGGCCGGGTCGCGAGTGGGACGACGACAACAACAACAAAAGCATGTTCAATAACAGCAAAAACAACAACCGCAATCATTTCAAGACTGTTCGCTCTTATCTGCTCGAGTGTCATTCCACGCGTATTTCCCAAACCCTCGATACCCGCCCTCTTCGTCTTCGAGCGTGCCCCTTTTGGGATGTATATCTTTCTTCCCTGCAGGCCGGGCCCCAGCAAATGGCGGGGCGGCCGCGGTCCGTCGGCCTGGCCAGCGGCAGCGCTGATCGGCGGCAACCCGGGACGGACAGGGGACCGACCACGACGACGACGACAACGACGACGACGACGACGACGACGACGACGACGACGACGAGCGAAACCGAGAGCGAGAGCGAGAGCGAGAGCGACAGCGGGGCCACGAAGGGCAGGAAGGGGGCCACGAAGGGCGACAGTGGGGTTACGAAGGGCATGCGTATGGGGCCACGAAGGGCGCGAACGAGCGGGGGCGCGGGGGCCACGAAGGGCAAATAATGCGGAGCCACAGAGGGTAACGACGGGGCCACTGAGGGTAACAACGGGGCCACGAGGGGCAGCGATGGGGGACGCAAAGGGCGACAGCGGGGCCACGAAGGGCGTGCGTATGGGGCCACGGTGGGCGCGAACGAGCGGGGGCCACGAAGTGCGTGCGTATATTGGGCCGCAGAGGGCAAGGGCGGGGCCATTGAGGGCAGCAGCGGGGCCACAAAGGGCAGCGAGGGGACCACGAAGGGCGACAGCGTGGCCACGAAGAGCATGCATATGGGGCCGCGACGGGCGCGAACGAGCGGGGGCCATGAAGGGCATGCATATATGGGGCCACGGAAGGGAGCGAGGGGGCCGCGAAGGGCTGCAACGGGGCCGCGACGGGCAGCGAGGGGGTCACGGAGGGCTGCAACGGGGCTAAGAAGGGCAGCGAGGGGGCCACGAAGGGCTGCAACGGGGGCAAGAAGTAGAAGGTCAGCCAGGGGGGCCACGAAGGGCTGCAACGGGTCCACGGAGGGCAGCGAGGGGGTCACGAAGGGCTGCAACGGGGCCATGAAGGGTAGCGAGGGGGCCAAGAAGGGCTGCAACGGGTCCACGAAGGGCAGCGAGGGGGCCACGAAGGGTTGCAACGGGCCACGAAAGGCAGCGACATCCCGATTGCTAGGTCAGCTGTGAGGGAGTCCTACGCGTGAGCGAGACTTCTGGGTGCCTGAGTGTCGGGAGCGCGGGGCTTGAGTAAATTGCAGGGGGTTTCAACGCAAGGGCGCGATTCTTGAGTAACTTGCAAGCAAGTCTCCAGCGAAAGCGCGACTCCAGAGCGCCGAGAGAGCGAGTCCTGAATCAAGTGTAAGGAAATCCCAAGCGAGAGCGCGATTCTTCAGTACAATGCGAGGAAGCTTCAGGCGGGAGCGGGGGTCCTGGTTAATTTGCGAGGAAGTCTCAGGCGGGAGCCGTTGTTGTTGGTGTCGTTGTAATCTGGAGGCAAACGCCGCAGTTTGAGCCGAATGACTGTCCCCGATAAAAAATCACAGTGCGAACCCAGGGGAGCACTTACATGGACAATACAATGGTTACCGCAGGGGGGTCAACAATAATGATTCTTCAGTCGTGGGAATTCAACAGTCATTGTAGCCGAATGTTTGATGATTCTGCTTACAGACTGCATCCATCATGATATCACCCGCCTCGGGGGGATTTTCTTGCAAAATGGCGTCCGATCTGGATGGCGCATCGCTTCTGCAATCTCCATGCCCACGCCATGCCTCTAGGTATTAGTACACCAGGGTGGCTTAAAAACAGCCAGGAAGGGCCCCGCAACCAACCTTTGGGAAACCCCTCTGAGACCGTTGGAGAGCCTCCGTAGCTCCTTGGAGAACCTTCTTGAGCCAACCAGGGAAACTTCAGAGCCCCTTGTAGAAAACCTGCAGGCACCTGGGAGACTCTTCGAAGCTGAGCCGGGGGGCTTCAGGGCTTCTTTGAAGAGGCGTCATGGCATTTTTGAGTAAAGGCTGGATCGGAGGAGCTCCTGGTCCTCGGCGAAAGGACGGAGAGAAAGAGTGAACAGGAGGAGGAGGAGGAGGATGAGGAGGGCGACGACGAAGGGGGAAGGAAGGCAATGGGGGGGAGGGGGAGGAGGAGGAGGAGGAGGAGGAGGAGGAGGAGGAGGAAGAGGAGGATGATGATGAGGAGGAGGAGGAGGAGGAAGGGGAGGGGGAGGACGAGGAGGAGGTGCCCGCAATGGCGAATGTGGCCCCGGTAAAATGGGAGTGCGCCACCTGCCTCTGCACGGCGAACGGTGGCGGTGGACAGACCTTGTCCGCCGCCTGGCTGTGCCCAGGATGGGGACGAGAAAAAGGACAAGGCAGAGGAGGAGAAGGAGGAGGATGACGACGACGACGACGACGACGCGACGATGTCGGCGGTGGCGACGCCGACGCCGACGACGACGACGACGACGACGACGACGACGAGAGGAGGGGGAGGGGGAAGAGGAGGGGGGAGCAAACGAGGAGAAAGGATAGGAGGAGGAAGCGGAGGAGGAGGATGAAGAGGAGGAGGAGGAGAGGGTGGAGACGGACGACGACGGCGACGACGACGCCGACGACGACGACGACGACGACGACGGCGACGATGAGGACGGCGTCGCCGCCGCAGATTCCCGCGCGCCGAGGCGGGAACGCCAGGGCGCCCCAGCGGGTGACAGCCGCGGAACTCCCCGGAACCTCGAAACGTCTGATCGTGAGGTTCCAGTCTTGTGTGAATCTTGATAAAATCGGACATAGTATCGAGCGGGAACGTCATTTTTTGCAGGGGGGGGCCATTCGCGGCGTCGAGGCGGGAGCGCTGGTCCTAAGTAACAAAAAGTGAGGTCTCGAGCGGAAATGCTTGTGTCGTTGGCAAGCCAGCTTTCGGCGGCGAGCACGGGCACAGGTTCCAAGTAAAAAGGGAGGAAACATAGAGCGGGAGCGTTGTTGTCGAATACCCATTCCTAAGGATAATTATTTAATCGCTTCGCTCATTCCGCCGGCCCATACAGTCTCATGTCTGCCGTTTGCCCGAGGGCCTGGTGTCAATGCGGCGCTTTGGGGGTTCCTGGGGCCGCTTGGGGGACTCCTGGGGCGCTCGGGGGGGCATTTGGGGGACTCTTGGGGGCCTCCTGAGGGCCCCGTGGGGGCCTCTTGGGGCCTCTTAGGGGCCTCGTAGGGGCTTCTTAGGGCCGAGGGCTCGAAATGTTGTTTCGTGTTCCCTCTCTGGGGCCCCTTTGGGGGCGTTCTTGGGGCCCTCTTGGACCGTTTTGGAGGCTTCTTGGGCCGTCTTCGAGCCCTCTTGGGCCATCTTGGGGCCCTCTTGGGTGCCTCTTGGGCCCTCTTGGGGCGATCTTGGGGGCCTCTTGGGCCGTCTTGGGGCGTCGGGAAGCCGAAAAGGTGGAAGCTCCAAAATCTCTCAAAAACCTATGGAAAAACAATGATTTTTGCCTCCGGGGGCCCTATTGGGAGTGCTCTTGGAGGCCTCTTGGGGCGTCTGGGGGCTATCTTGGGCGTCTTGGAGCGATCTTGTGGCATGTCGGACCCCTCGTGTACCATCTTGGGGGCCTCTTGGGGGCCTCTTGGCCTTTCTTGGGGCTCTCGGGGACGTCTCGGAGCCCTGTTGGTGCGCTCATGGAGCGCTCGGGGGGACCCGGCCGGGACCCGGCCGGGACCCGGCCGGGGACCGGCCGGGACCTGGTCGGGGTACTTTTCGTCCGGGGACCCCCAGGGGCCGCCCCGCGCGCGCGAACTAGAAAATTGTTAACCAGTTACCGGAGATCTTAGCACGCCTCTGGCCCGTTGGGCCGGCGAATTGATCATCCCCCCCTTCTGGTACAAATTGATATGTTTTGAATCGCAGTGCCCCCCTCGTGTCTCGCACCCTATTAATTACAAGGAAATTTGAGGGGTCACCAGACTGCACTGTCGGACCCCTAACTACAAGAACAACAACTTCCT